TCGGAGTTTGAAGACGTACGGATTTATTGTAGCGTAAATTATGTTTTATTATCGAAAATACTCTTAAGTTTTAACATCGTCAAAAGGCATTACGTTAACTGTTAATCGCATTTCAATACGTTATCTTTATGAATTGCTGTCGTCTGCGATGTGGAGAAAACTTGTGGTGAAGTCCGGGCTTCTTTTATTTTTTATATTTGTGTTCCAAATGGCAAGGTTTCATTGGGTTTAATGTTGGTACTTACTGTTTTGCTTGTGCCGCACCAATCATGTAACTCTTCTTTGACCTACATTTTATGATGTCATCGTGTAGATAAATATTTATATACTTTAGTTACAGAATGTAGCCGTATGTTTGGTGTAGATTAAGATATATAATTGGTCTTCATTAGGGTCTTGCCATTTAATAAATGGCTCGATATATAAAATGGAAACGAAGCCCCTTCAAACATCTACGTTTTCTTCTAGATACTGGAAACTCTGGAAAGTTATCAGCCAGATACTATTATTAGTTATAAAAAATAATTAAACTGGATAGCATAGTGGAAGCTATATTTAAACCAGGGCTTCACGGAAAGGATTACTTAAAGCAAAAGGTTATATTATTTTTAAAGAGCACTTAGCAAAAGTCTAGTAGAATATTACAGTATCAGTACTGTATTTCAATCAACAGTAATTGCAGTCTAAATTATACGTAATAAACGGGCTTGAATTGAACACTGTAATCATTTTGATGATAGACGAACATACTTGTTTTTGTTCAGAGTTAATCAGATCAGACGGGCTGGCGTTAATCTTGTCAAATTACTAGATTTTATGGCTTGTAAAGCGGGTCCGTTCAGCTCTATTGGTATTTTAGCTTTGTAATATGAGACGTTCACGTCTTGTTCTTGAATTTTGTACTCTACACTAGGTTTTGTTAACGAAATGCATGTTTATTCTTGCTGATTACAAAGTTAGTATTGTCTATTAGATAGATTCTTCTGTTAGAATCATTATATTCTCTTCTTTATTCTTTATCTGGACATTGTTACCCGGGTGCTACTTTATAATCACAGAGCCACAGCCATTATAATTTGTAGAGACGACATAAATAGCACTACTAAGTAACTACTCTGTTAATTGTTTTCTCCAGCTCGCCTGTCTGCATTGGCGCGCTGTCTATCTACTACATTTCTACACACATGTTCGCCTGGTATTTCTAATACAGGTCATGGTCATCGATTTAGCAATATCCTCAACTAGCTAATCTCCATTCAGAATTGATGTCATTAGGGAAAAATTTCATTGTCGTCGTAGGAATGCAAAATTTAATCTCAGTGTGAAATACCACACTGATTACTCAGTACACATATTCTAGACGACAACACAATTCTCGTAACTCTCGCGAATTGCGTAGGAATTTTATCTTAGACACGAGACAGCGGATTATTTATTAATGACACACTTATTTCTTTGTGTACGATAATGTGTGGAGCAACCGATGTTACTTTAATATTTATTATTATATTGACAATATTACATAATCACGAGCGTGGACGGTGAAATCCGCGAAGTGTGGACATGTGGAGTGCGACCCGCTGCGTACCGCGAGCACGTGGCGGCCGGCGCTGGACCACGACATAAGATGTCGACGTACCAACTCTTTTAAATGTCTTTATCAAGAAACAAATGAACATAACAATAAAATCATCCATATCATTACATTACACACATACACGATTTACATAACTGAACACGTCGATAACGAAATTAAGCGAATTATGGCGAATTCGGTCGGCAGTTGTCGTTAACTTGAGAAAATGACGGTTTCAAACTCTGGAGGCTGTATATTTGAATTTATCGATGTCTTTAATATTTCTGTTGGGTGTAATGTGACAACAAGAATTCGGTGTCTTGTAAAAACTATTAATAAAATTAATTGGACCGTTCACGCAAGCTTGCTTAGGTTCTTTATGAAGAGATATTTGTTGAAAGTCAAATATTTCGTCCTTCTGAAATGAACTTTGGGCTCCGTTGCAGAATTTTTAAGAGTAATTTTGTTGTAGTTTCTGTCAATAAATCAAATTCGTCATACACTTAAATTAGTGTAAAAAATTATATGGTGCAGCAAAATCGGGTTTTAAAAATAACAGCGTCTTCGTTTTTTATTTAATGATTCCATCAAGAATAACGATTGTAAAATGAATAGCCACTGTCTTTCATTGTGGTAATATTTTGCTCTAGATAGCCATATTAATCAAAATAATTTTTACTCTTTTTCTTCCTCCCTCGCGCATAAATGAAGATTTTGAAATGTGTGTTTAAGTCATTTTTTAATTAGTGGTTCTGGAGGGCCGAAATACAAAGTGTTGTGTGCCAATCTTATGACCCCATCTGAGGGTCTTGGTACATATTGGATTTTATTTAATGGCTGTGTTGGGCCGTCTGGCGTGTGAACTTTGTATTATCAACTTTGTGATACATACCAAAGGACTTTTATAACGGTTCCTGTGTGTGCCTCGGACCAGTTTTTGGTGTGATTGTGATCAATACAATTGTTTATTTATCGTTATTTTTGTTTGTTCCTGGAATAACGAGATCTATTTATCACTCGATGATGAAGTTAAAATATGCAGTTAGGTAGATTAGCAGTACCTACTGATTCATTGTTTGTGATTTGTTTAATTTTAGACATAAAATTTTTTAAAGATTTGTCAAATTAATTACTGAGTTTTTGGTTTTTTTTTGTATCAGAATATGACAACATGTAACATACATTGATACCTCATTGAATTACTCTAGATACAATAGCGTCAGCTGATTGATGACTCGAACTATGAACCGTCATCCACTACTATTAAAGCCATTCATCGTTGCGTTATATAATAACACATTAAAGTCAATTAAACCCTCTTTTCGATAGAGTTTAGCAATCCTGAGAAATATGGCGTTAGATTTTTCATCGGAACCCTGTGTCAGTAGATAATTGTTTTGTAACTTTGTACACTGCTCTAAAGAGGTTAAAAGATGTAGAGATATGAATCGTTTAATAGGCAAGTGTGAACAGAACAGTGTTGCCATTGTTGAGCCCATTAACAAACTAGTTTTGACACGCGAGTCGCCTTGCGAAATGTCCAGCTCACGACTAAATAAATAAATACTTAATATTGTTACCCAAGCAGTTGATAAGTAATTTAATTAGACCGAGCTTAATTGAATATTGGAAATAATAACGAGAGTAGCGGGTTGCAGCGTGGCGATACTCTTGTATCAAATTAATCAAAGTTATGATCCGCCCGTGCGCAGTGCGTCTGCGTAGCTTTGTTGCCGTTAAACCGGCCAAACTGTTGGTATTGCTAAGAATATTCACTATGTTTAACAAAGGCAATAATTTCTTACAAATGTAGTAATCTAGATATACCGGTGTTCCGTGTAACCAATTTACGATGTAGAACGATGATATGAATCCTTAAATATGCGTCTATCATGAATCTTCTCATTCCTAAGCTATTTTATGTATGAAATATCCATAAATTATATGATGGTCGGGTGCTAAACTGCGCACTTATGATGCTATCTTAGTATGTATCTAAATTAAAGAGTTGGCTTATACCTAGCGTTATGAAGCTGATTGCATAAATACGGCAAGGTGGCATGTTTGAGGAAGCTGCTCTAAGTAACGATCAATTTGCGTTAAGTCGACACGCTGCACTTTTTTTTACTGTCATAACCTTCCTTAATGAGTAGAGAAATCCACGGAGCCATCTAACTTCTATGCAAATGCATTTTCTTCTATTTTCGAAAGTATACTTATATATTGTGAGATCGCTAATGAAGACTGACAAGTAATTCATTGGGTTTTACTTTTATACCTACATGTAGACGAGAACGTATAGGCAGTCCATAAACGTAAATATACTAGAAGCAGCTCTAGGCGTAGAAATTAGAATTATGTAGGTGTACGCTTCATTCATGGTCGTTAGGTACATAGTACAGGATATAACAATTCAGTTTCATATTTATTATCTTAATCTTTACGGAAATGTGCATCAGGCATCAGACAATGAAATTTTTAAAAGAGAACAGGTCTCAAAATAAACAAATTGTAAATATCTGGATATTTTCACCTTCTCGTCGTGTTTGATCTAGAAAGCTTTAATATTTGGCAGATAGCCTGCTTAAACAATAATAAGTTTAGAATATTTGTGCCATTGAAGTATAAACCGTCTAAACTAAAACGCCCATTTTAATGAAGACTGCTCACGCAAGGATCGTTGCTCAAGATTCACTTGCTCTACATTCCTACTGGATTTATTATGAGTAGTTTTCTCGTACTATTTCTAAGCTATAAGTGGAATACCTATGTAACACAAAGGAAGCTGGGTAGCTGGAACGTGGGCGGGGCGGATCCAATTATGTCTCAGCACGAACGAATTTATTGCACTGAACGTCTGCATCGCTCTCACCTTGACATGTCGTCGACTTATTCTGGATCGAGCTGTACAATTTTCTACAACTTTTCCTTATTCAGAAATAGGTACGTATAATTGAGAATTTTACTAAAGTTTTTCTGGCCACGATTTGATTCGGTGTCAAAATATTGATTGACTGTCCTGTTCGTCATCCGAAACATGGCCAATATTGGCGGTATGCCAACGTTATGAATATTTAATCAGATAGGATGTATGGATGAAGTGAGAATTCCGTCGTATACATACTCAGCTAGTTCGGAGGTTGAAACGGAGGCTGCGCACGCGCTTTTGATCCGAGCATCGGCTAGAGACGCCGGCAGTCGCGCGGGAAACTTCGCGGCATTCGGTCGAGCTTACGGCCGTGAGCAGCTCTGTGAAATATATTTCTCGATCATATTTACGATAACTCACATCGATTCGTGCGATATCGACGAGTACCGTGATATAAACTGTGATCATAAACTGAAGTGGTTGCTGGACACTGCTGCCATAATGTCTGGTTAAATATTTTTTGTAGAAAAACAGTGAAATATTAACTCTATCCAAATGAAGATGACTGTGAATCGTATAAGGGTGGTGGTGCTAGGGAGCCCGCGGAGCGGCAAGTCTGGTTAGTAAAGCATTCGTCAACTTCTGCATTTTATGATTTTTAGCGAAAACGACCTTTGTATTTTATAAAATATCACCCAACCGCCATTAACTTCAAATTGCAATTTAACAGACATAATTATGAATGCCGTCAATGTTGATCTGAAACATATTTTATTCAAGTTAATAATATCAAATTACATTTACGAATAAAAAAAAAAAAAACGCATACTTTTTAAGTGGCCAGAAGTGCGAATTTTGCGCTAAAAATACCAAAAATCAATAAGGACACTTTATTTTAAGAGACAATAATAATAAAAAGGCAATTAGTGCTTATCATACAGAGTAAACTCACACAAACAAACTCAGATTTCATTTTATAAACTCAAGAGTTTATTTTGCATTTAATTTTATTTTGTTATTATTAACAGTAATAAAATAAGGGATATGTTATTAAAGTCGACGGAGTGCAAATTTGAGGTGCGGAACCTGTAATTTCAGCCATCTAAAAGGAGTTTTTTTGTGGTTATTATTACATCAGGGGGAACGAATAACGGGAATGAGAATTGCAGGACATAATAGCGTTATTTTAAACCGACCATGTTTTTAAAGACATGCGGTTTTTATTTTATCAGTTGATTATTAAACATTAAATTTTAAATGTGTACGTTAAAACGATTTTTATGTTGAGAGGTTTTTTAAAGGAAAACGTTGTTTAAATAAACAGTTTTACTTGTTTTTTTGTAGATTTGAAAGTGTGTGATAAGAATAAAATGTTTAAAGATTAATATTGTACCTAACACGTACAAAAATAAACACACAGAAATCGTAGTTAACGTTAAACTGATCGAATAAGTGAAAAACATACTAGGCACTCAGAACCAGGCAAATCGTTTTCAAGTGCATTATCAATGTCGTAAATACTTTCCTTACATACCTATACATGTGCTTACCTCTAGACTACTAGAATATTTACATTACAAATTGTATCAGATGTGTTAAACTATGATAGAGGAATATATCTAATTGTTCGCTTATCACATTATGGTATTTAATGGAATGCTTCTATGTCAATATTTATTATGATATGAGCTTATTTGATTAATGTATTGTTATATACTTGTGAACACCCGTCTGATTATGTACCACATGTGTTTGCTCGAGACTTAGTTTACAATCTGCTGATCGTTTAAGCGCCTTGTAAACATTTCGATGATTTCTTCATTTATTTTACTGTTATTGTTTCTATTATATTTTCCTGAAGTATTGAAGTTTCTATACAGTTTTTGTGTCATTTAATAAATATTTTTTTTGATATCGTTAAGTACCGAAGATTTTTTATGAAAGCGTAATTTTTAAAGATGGTACCTTAAAAATTAATTAGTTATTCATCCTTTCGTCCATTCTAAGACCTGTTATTTGCTTATTTGGTTTAATTCTTGATGCATTGCAGAAGACAGAGTACAATGCACCGCACGTGCAGCGGCACATGTATATTTGAACTTGATCTTAAATCGGAAAATAATGAAACAAGCCGTGTTTTACTCACCGTTATTTTTAACTATTATGACTTGTAAAGTAAACTAAGTAAACAATTCAATTACGATAATGTCCGTTTACGATCTTCGATAGACGTCGGTGATAGAAATGTGCTTCGTAACCTGCTTCTGGTATCGGTTTACTCAATTGCTAGTGATTTACGATCATGGCAGATCAGTAATGCTTTACAAATATGGTTATTGGCGTGTGATATACATGTGTAGAGCAACGACCTCGACGGCAGCGTTAATGGCTGATCGGACGTTTAAGAGTTACACAACGTCGTCTGGTGGCGCCAGGCGTCGCCGCCGTCGGGAAATCGCGCCGCTGACCCACCGGCCGACTCGCCACCGACTGGTTGTAATTGCACCGCCCTAATTGTCGGCCGGCTGACGGCTGACGGACCGGCTGCGACCGCTCCGAGACGCATGCGTTTGCAATTCATTACAGACGGGAGCGAGCTGGGCCGACATGCGAAATTGTTTCAATGTAGATCCTGTCCACGAACGGCCCCGTGGGAGTGGCGCTTGTCTGTCACGGATACGCTGTTCACGTCGTCGTTAAATGCCCTCAGGAGCATTATCTACTCATTAAACCTTTACTACTGACATTATTCACCGTGTTCATTCTTCACTGGGCCATTTATTTTCATATTATAGTGAACTCCGTTACTGCGAAGCCGCTGCTGCCCTGCACTTAATATCCTTCCAGATATCTGGGTCACGTTTAATGCTTCTTTCGAAAATATGATAAGTCTCTCCACACCCTGTGGTTATCCGACAGTTAAAGACGAAACACTAAAAATATTAATTATGTTGAGTCAATAAAATATTTCAATTAACAAGTCGAGCTTGGAGTGCTGCGTGTCAACGGTCGTTCATTTTTTGGTCTGAAATGAATTGTGTATGTTGGGAGAGCAACGAACTTTAATTTTGGAAAGGAGTCACATTTTTTAACGTTATGACTGATTACTTTTGTAAAGGGCCTTTTTGTCGCTGAAGTGCCAAAATGGGATGTTAACAACCACGTTCTTGTAGTAAAAGCTTTAATAATATGGTCGGATGTGTCAGCGTAGCGGTGCGAGCTCGGAGCCCCGTGCGACGACCTTCTCACGGCATGATGAATGAGTGCAGCGCCAGCGATGAGGCATCGAAGCCTCGTCGACATCCTTTCCTCGCGGATTCTGACATATTCACTTGTAATGTGTCTGTATGATTGAAACTTTACATAATTTGTTTGACATGAGTTTGAAAGACATAATATTAAAAGACGTGCTTAAACAAAACGTAATGGTTGATTAACTTTAGGACCACAAAGATGACGAAATATTAAAAACTTAATTTGTAACCATCCGATTCGATACCAACTCACTCAAATGACTAATAACTAATGACTAGATGGGGACGAAAGTTACTGGAGTAATAATCGTCACATTTAATATTATGAATGCACAAATATGTTACTCTACAGCTGTCTCCAAGTTGGATTCAAGGGCATATTCTTTAATAGGTCTACGATAATAGATAGACGGTGCTACCAGAATGAGATGATCTCCCAATATCTTTCAATCATAGTAGAATTAGCCCTACGATTGTTAAATATAATTAGTACTCAATTTGTCATTACATTCTAGAACAACCCAGTTCTAGAAAAAGTTCTCTAACACATACGCAGTATTGCACCACAACACTATATTGATGTCACAATTATAGTCATGGTCCATACCGATTCAGACCGGTATCAAGACCGAGTCAAAGTAATAATGGTTGCTATTGAACTATGATGGTCAGTCGACACATGATCGATGTCTTCAATAATCTATTAATTACCCTAAAGATTCCTGTCGATAGCCACATCCATTGTTCTTGTAGATAACATACGATCTATCAACCCACGTGATGCCGTGTTGTTTGATCACATCAATTTGTCTTATATGCCCCGATGGTCATAATTTGATGTAATTTTTTATAGGAATCTCGTCAGCGAAGATTCGTTAATCATTTTTTGATCCTCCACAATAAGCTCGGTAATTTATTACTTACAAATTGATGGTAAATTGTTTCGAAATTATGTAAGTGCTCGGTTTGTGAGTTATTGTTTTTGGTAGTTAATAGTAGTGGTCATTCTATTTTAGTAATGGAATATTGAACGTAATATTTAAAATGTGCGCTTATTCAATAATTTTAAATACAGCGTGTGTATAGTAGAGTTACTATTTTTTTATTCCATTTCAAATGAATTTGATAGTAATTATAAGCGGTACTTAAGAAAGAGAATATTTTAGTATAACCCCCATAAAATCCCAGACTAATATTTGTTTCTGTTAAAACGTGGAAAGAATTCAGAAATACAAACTTTACGCAGCACAACACAGTAATACGATTTAACCAACTTTATTCAAGCAGTGAAATGCAACACACAGAGTTGTGGTTAAATGCCAAGAACCTAAACCAATAAAAACCATAACAAACTTTGTATGTAGAGAGCAAACAATAAAAAACTGAATTTTAATTGAATTCCGCATATTTTAGTTAAAAGTGGATCGATGAAACTTTATCACTCGACGATTATGTACGTAATCGGATCGCAGAGAAAGTAATGCATTCAATACTCTGTGCACACAGGGAAAAAATCGAAAGGAAAAAATGAGAGTGAGGAATTTCGAGCGTGTTTCATAAACTACGATATATTGTGGTGTGTTGTAATTTTTATCAACGCATGAAAAGGTTTTATTGCATTGCTTTATTGACGTGACGATGGTTTATCGGCTGCTGGTCGTCAATCAAATATCGAAGATATCGATCTTCTTTCTCAATTATTAATGTCATCATACGCGGACGTTGGCGGCTTTGGGGCTTTGTTTTCGTAGTTAGATTATTCCATTAGGCTTTAGGTTTTCATGCCTTAATTTTTAATAAATATCCTGAAGGTTGTAAAGTAGACACCGTTAATTTCTAAATCAAGAAACCTAATAAGACTTTACTATCGACAAAGTAGATAAATCCGAAGAATTCCATGAAAAACGAAAATTAATTAAATCAGAGAAGCTTAGCCTATTCGCTTCCTTTAAAGTAACAGCACAATCGGTTCCTTATAGTTACGTCGTCATGCCGGGAATGGCATAGTATTGTAAGGTAATAGATTTCCTATCCTAGCCTTAACCGTCTGCGACAGAATGCGTACGGAATGCATTCCAAGTCCATTGTCATGCGACAACGTGCAGCAGTTGCATAAAAGCATTGTGGACTCTTGTGTAACAGCCTTGGGTCAAGATTCTGACACAAATAGTAACGATATCTCATTCGGGAGTATTATCCATACGTTGATGTCGTAAACGATTCTTGTAATGGAATGTTAATTAGCATTTGTTACGAAAACAGATGTCTATCTAGAACTAAACTGATAAGCAGTTTGTATTCTGCTTCATGCTAATGTTTCTTATTGTTTGGTCTATCTTTTGTTGGTTTTCATTTTTTCTTTGTGATTTGTTAAATTGGCTTGGTTATTAACTCGGTAAATGGCTTGCATTAATTTTCTTGATGCCATTATCCGTACCTATAATTTGGTGAATCGTAAAGAGATATGCAATACTGATGTCGTGTATAAATTATCTACTAATACAATACAATACAATATTTTAACTTTAATAGAAATTATACCAACGAATGAATTGAGAATTTGTAGTTAATAGTTCCTAGCTTTGTAATGGCTAGACCGTGACCATTAAATGACTAACATAATCAAATCAAGGTTGATTATATTGAACCTATTTGTCATGTCTCAAGCTACACCTTATTCAAATTACTCGTTTTCATCATCCAAATGACAAAATGCAGTACACTTGAAAGGGTTAAGTACGAACGTAATCTCACGTCCGACGGCCGCATCGGACAAGCAATCAGCTCGTTGAATAGCGCCACTAGTTCCTTTTGATGGGCTGCAGGATTCTCCACACTTCATTTCGTCGGTAGCTTACAACCGACGCTATTCACGCAACTTGCTTGGTCATTGTTGTTGATAACTGTTTGTATTGTGTACAACCCTTTGATGGAAATTCCAGGAGTGAAAGGACTAATCAGTATTTGATCCACTCGCTTCTAGAAAGTTGGGAGTGACGACCTCTTAATTGTTCGCCTATTTACAATATGTCTTCGATGAAGGCGTGCTTCTTACAATGTTATTCATTTGGTTCTCTTTTTGTTGCAGCGGTGGTCGTGCGTTATCTAACAAAGCGGTACATCGGAGAATATAGCTCGACAGGAGGTTAGTAAAGTTCACTCGATGAATCATTATTATCATAATAAAAAGTATTTATCTCGTTTGATCATTGCCTTTTAAAAATAATTGTACACGTGCGTATTATGTTGTTGGCAAATTCAATAAACTATCGAACTGGCATTTAAGTGACGTCAATACTTGGTTAATTTACAAAAGCTTCAATCATATCTGTCACTTATTACTGAAGTGGATTGTATTATGTATTTAAATTAAAATGTCTGCTTCCTTCCGACCTTAAAGCGACGTGTTTGCGTCAGTCGGCGCCATGCCGCAATTCTCGAGCGTTGAATTAAAATATTAAGGAAATAGCTTTCAGCGCTCGATGTCATAGTAAATGCTGTCGCTATCACCGACGACAAAGATATCAGCACAAAAGCGATCACTACGCACAGTTCTAAACCGTGTTCTCTTGTTGCAGATTTCCTTTATCAGCACAGAGTGGCTTTCGACGGTGCCGTTTCAGAAGTTGAAATACTAGATACATCTAATTGCGCGGTAAGTAACGAGTCTGCAACAATGTTGCTTTTAGCGTTAACACTAAAATATCAGTCACCGTGAACAAAAGGCTCGACGTCTCTGATAAGATTAAAACTCGAAGCTCGAATAGCAAACGAAGAGATAGACGGTCAAACTTAATTTACCATTAAACAATGGAGATGTTAATCTGCTGTGGGCTGTGCTGGTAGCGGCTGATGGCCGCAGTACAATTTAATTAGACGAAGTTTATGTGGCTTGTATCGGCTTATCAGATGCGATCGTTGCCGTTGCTGCATCGGTGTGGCTGCAGGCGAAATCCTACGTTCAAACCTACGCTACGATAGAATACACGGGAGAATTCATGTTACGTAATTGTTATGCTTTTATTGTTGTTGTATGGGTGCGCAGTGATTCTTAAACCAGTTCTGTTTCCTAAACAACGAAGATGTTTATTAAACGCATCGATAACGGAACTAAAAGAACAGAATAGATTGGATGCTTTGTATTATTGTGCAACCGGTGATATTATTCGGTGCAGCGAGTGGCCCCGATACGAGATTCCGAGTACCAGTTGTGGCTCGCGACTTTATTTACAATTATAAGTTAAGTTCACTGACTTTATTTACAATTTTAGCTATTCCAGATTCTCAGGCTCGAGGTGAACATTCCATTTGCATTGCGATTTATCGAGCGAAATGGTGTTTTAAATACCATTTACATTTTATTATGATATACACATAGGAACATATTGCTATTAAAAGTAAATTGAAGTAAGAATTATGGACGATCATTCCTTTTTTCATTATTGTTTTTACCTTAATTGAAATATTTTTATAGACAGAAAATAACCGTTCATTTTGTGAGCTTGGCACATATTATAAGGATCTCAAATCATTTACAGCAGCAGATGATGAAATAGGTCGAGATTCAATCAACAAATTCTAGAGTCATCTTGGACTATAACCTGACACTGTTATATTATAAAATCTCATACAAATCGAAATTGTATCGAATGTATTTTTTACTTCCAAATAATTGGTCATGGTATGAGAGATATTTAAGAACTTCTAAAAATTATGTCAATCTGATGCTACCAACCTTAAGCTGAACCACATTATGGGGATTCACTTAGAGCACTGCTTTTCGATTTTATTCTATTGAGGGTGCCATCAAGAAAGACTAAGTATCTACTACTTATTAATTTCCCTGCAAAGGTTGTTTTGGGTATTTAATGGATACATTTGTCCTTAGATCCGCGGCTGTTTGGCTGAACATGTGAGATGGGGCGATGCGTTCGCTGTCGTGTACTCGGTGTGTGAGCGCCGCTCCTTCTTAGCTGCAGCTGAACTGCTCTCCTTACTGGAGCGCACGAGACTGCCCGGCTGCGCTGCCGTCACCCTCTTAGGGAACAAACGTGACCTCGAACACGCCAGGTAAATTATAAAATTAGTCTTTTTTAGGTGTTTTTTTGTCTCACACTAGGAATTTCTTTTGTATCGTGGGAGCGTATAAAAACATACAAGTTCACATACACACGCACCCCAGACATGGAACAACAATCACATAAAGATAAAGGTTCCGTCCGAGAATCGAACCCGCGAAACGTTGCGCAGCAGCTAGTTACCCAGCCACTGTGCCAACTGCAGTCTTTTGATTTTCTATATTTAGCTCATTAGGGAACTGATACCTATTAATAAATTATTTGAAATACTAAGTCTGTAACTTAATTTTACTTGATGATTGAGACTAAGATATTTTTACAAGAAAAAAAGATTTATCGTTCTTTTTAGTTATCGTTAGTTCTCTTACTGGTATACTATAAATATATTTTTTTTACAAATAGGGAGGTCCATGCAGAGGAGGGTCAAGAACTGTCGCTGAGATTCGGCTGTCAGTTCTACGAGGTGTCGGCGGCGGAGTCGTGCGCGGGCGCAGCGCTCGCGTTCCACGCGCTGCTGCGGGAGGCGCGCGCGCTGGCGCTCTTGTTGCCCGCCCCCAGGCGAAAGCTCGCTGCCTACTCTGTCTCTAAAGTGAGTTATCATGTGACTCAATTTCGTGATAGAAATGATATTATCATAAGCAATAGAAATTATCTAACACATATGTTAATTTTGCTAAAATAACTGATTGTTGTATGTGTTTGAGTTTTAATTATAATGGAAAATCATTATACAATTTTTGTCAATTCTTTTCTTTTGCGCCCTAAATTGATTCAGCTATATAAATACAGTATTTTTTAAATCACTATAGTTATTTTCAAACTTCGTATTTTCAAAACGTTAATGAATACTCAATAGTAAAGAACTCATTAACTTCTTAATCTCCGATTATGAAAAATCCACAACATTTATTCATAGAAAATACTACTTTTCTATGAATAAATGTTGTGGATTTTTAGTTTAGAGACTACTCTAAACTTCGGAAATAAGTTCTATAATGGAGTAAGCGGAGGTGGTCATCGGTGACCGCTTGGGGAATGAGCAGAGGGACGTTTGGTGATCGCTTGGGGACTCGACTTATTTATAACAACCCTATTTTTGTTTGCAGGTAATTGGCACGATATTTGGAAAAAACAGCAAAAGTGTGAGAAAGAAAAGGCCATCTTTGAGCATTTAATGTACATTTAATTTATTCTTAATTCACTTTCAGACTGGTTTGTAAATAATTAATTTTAATTTAATTTTAATATTATGTAAGATTTCCAAGTTATGTCTACGTTTGTGTTGACGTCTACTTCATTTGTGATTGTGATTCTCAATGATAAAAATGGATTTACTCAAGAATTATCTATATTAATATATATTTCCGGAAGCCATATCTCACATAGCGAAGAAATTCGTATGTAAATATTATATGTATTTGATATTAAAAATGTAAATAAAATAATAAGGTAATACACCTCGCACTAGAATTTTAATTTTTAAATATAAATGTTGTAAATAATAATCTTAAGGTGGATAAAATTTTTGTGCCTGTATAAAGGTCTACAGTTATCTCATTACAATAATAAATTTTAATATAATAAATATAAATTGTTTTAATCTACTTTGAACCTTACCCATGCATATACTATACGTCGAATTGGAATCTATTGATTGAGATTTGGATTTAAGTAACTAACGTTCGAATACTGAAAGGCTACTCAATTTTAAATTGCACCTAAATGTCATGCTATCTCTGTCATTTTACAAAAAAAATATAGTGACAGAACTATACTTTTTTAAACTTGATAGGTCGACGTTTGGCCACCATCTCGCCTAGTGGTATGCGATGATCACTTAATCGCGACTTAAAATTGTGTGGCGTTTCTTTTAAGTAGTTCTTTTTTTAACAGTCAAATTGGTAATTAAGTAAACTCATTCCAGTGTCATCTTATTACTAACAACACTGAAAGAAACAAAGAAAACTCCAGACTAAATTCCAAGCTAGTCTGAAAACTAGATCGTAATATAATAATAATTAATTTTTATTTCAGACTAAGCCCATAGAGTTAGTAACAATTGACTTAAACTAGTTTTAGTAGAAATAAACACACAATTGGGATGATGACAGTATATAAAACGAATACCTAGATAAAACGAATCAAAGTTTAGGAGTGGGGGCTAAAACGTCATTTCTACGTATTAAAGGTACATAGAAGTGACGTCACGCGATATTTCAAATCAATATTATATAAAACCATCAAAAAAAAAAAAAACGAAAGTATTCGTTTCTGTAAGAAAATAAATAATACGTGTTTAATGATTTAAAATAATCTACCAAACGGACATTAAAATAAAAATTAGGCATCTACCCTATTACAGTATGGCGTGGAGTTGCATCCACCTTTACATCATCGGAGAATCCCCCCGATCTGCGAATACAATGAGAAAACCATTGGTACCGCCGCGTATACGTGTCATTAGAGATGGATGGATCACAGTCATGGATTATCTACAAGTATTTAGTACGTAAACTATTTACATATCTATGTGTACTTCCAAACGCTGGTTTGTTATTCAGACTACGATTCAAAGCAAATATATGAAAATTTTCACGCAAATGAAGAAAACTGCTGTAACAACAGCTGTAAACAACAGCTGTAAGGTGTCTACTGCAGAAAAAAGCCTTGCGTTTGGGAGGAAGACTTCTACGCTTGGTACGTGGCTAGTGGATCAGAGTCAGGTTCCTAAATATTTCGAGATAATTTTTAGTTACCCGTTCTTCGGAGGCTGGTCACTATTTTCGGACATACCCGTATCATAGGTAACTCCTATACAAGTCGTGACATTATATACAACTTACAAGAACCTATAAATTGCAGTAAAGGTTTTTGATTCTACGTAAAACATTCAGTCCTCAATACAGTCCGTACATACATCTTATAAAGCAGGTTGTACTTGAGTGCCCCGAACAGATATTTCACAGACAGTGCTATTGCCCGAACACTACACGTTTTAGTATTGTATCATCGATCCTGATTGCCTTGATATATTCTTTAACGTTGGAAAGCGAATAAGTACGGACGTCGGACGCTTTCTTAGATCATAATGCTGCGATAGCGTCAAATTGATCGCAATATGTTGCACCTTCTATACATGTCGTTAAAAGCTCTAATGAGTTTCTGTTTTCACTGGTGAAGTGTCTGAGTGTCACATCGCTCTGCATCGGACAAGGTTTGCTGTCCAACGTATATTGATCGGGCAGGGTAGTCAATGGCCGGAGAGAGTTTCGCCACGACTCGACCTTGCATGTCGGAGCACTCCCGCACCACGTCCGATCTACCGATAAAACCTATCGCAAAGACGAATGTGACGTTACAAGTCCGCTACATGTGAAAGCAACCAGCACAAATTCAAGGTCCCGGAGAAATTACGCATCGAAATCCATAGATGTTAAACAAACAGTATCCGACAGATCACTACTGAACCGGCAGAGCTGAAAATTATCGGACAGATCAACAACTGCTGATAGCGCGATCAAGTTCAAGAGCACGTCAATAAATAAATACGATACAATTTACTAAGTAAACTGTTTAGGAACGAATGATTATGCAAGCGACAAGTACTAGGTAAGCATTACGGTTACGCAATGGGCAATAAATGTTCCCTTAGTGGTTCCGCTGTGGCATTAAATCGGGCACGTACAGGTGTATCGGTCGATGCCGAGATATGACTAATAAATCGGATCCCTTGATCGCATTAGTGGCGCCAACGTTCCGCTTGCCACAGCGGAGCGGTCGCGCCGAGGGTAGCGATCGCTATCTGCCCTATCGTAGATTCCTATGCAGTGCTGTGCACTGTATGCAGGTGCAACGGAACTACATTTTATACCACACTTACATACAAGTAATTCTTGTTTGACATTATTAATATAAAAAATATGTATTCCAAATTTATATTGATTCAGAAACATTTTATAAAACCAGCAAAGAATATAAAATTAAGTGGATTCTAAAGAAAAGAGTTAAATGAAATTTGTGAATGACAGTCGTAATAATAGATATCATAATCAATAATCACTCAATAAAGAAAGTATTAAATCCACAATAGCGATAGAGCATTGTCACTAATTCACAGAGAAGAGGTCAAGAACGAATGACCTCTTGCAATCATCGTGATATTTAACGTCAATTAAAGAATTTAATGAATCAGCAATCGACGAGTTGGGTGAAAGCTTTAGATGTAATCAGGCAGGATACTGTGTAAAATTGCGATGATGTACACGATGCTATGATAGCACGCCCCGAGCGGACAGTTAGTGACGTACACACCACTGTAGATAACCTGTTCCAGAAAGCTGATCTATTAATATTTACCGTACATGTTCATCATTCTAATCTAATCCGAGGACCCGAAGCGTATTTAATTGAGCGTAATGATGAAATGAAATAAGTACAGAAACGATATCATTCATGATGTATAAGATGCAGCACCGCAGTGACAAGAATATGACATGTAGTAGGTAAGTCGTGGTGTCCGTGTATCGGGATTCCTGATCCAGTAGATAAACTATCAGCCACTTTCATCTCCCGCTTTAGATTAAACGATTACTAGTTTCGTCTAATTGCTCGTGTTTGTCTCGGATGGAATCGGTCATTGAGATTTATGCATGACTGAGGATCGGACTGGTACGTGATTCGGATCTAATGATAGATAGCCCTGCCAACAAGATGATCTTTGATTTACTTTACTGAATAAGGCTAGAGATGAAGATAGAACGTGGACATCATATGTTGTGGAAATCACAATCAACAATAAGACATGAAACAATAATATACACGATAGCCCTATAACGTGTTTAGAATGGCATAATATGTATTACTCTTTTTTGTTTACGCGAGACATAATACATATTATGTAAATACATTATTTCTGTTCAATAATAGGTACTTATATTTTATAGTAAACAGTAATAGTTACAGATTCGTTGAAAGAATGGTCCAATATTCAGGTTAGATAATTTAATGAAACACAGTCCAAGTCTGATGAAACAGACTAAAGGGTCTTCATACAAATTCTTCTGCTTTGTTGTTAATTGCCAAAAATGGACTAATATTTGTCAGTAGACTTGTCCCTTATTAGCAGGACCAACTACTAGACCAATACGAGTGACAATAAGTGATCCATGGGGATTTTTAAAGATTATATGTTGTATTAATTTTTCCTCATAAGGGCCTTGATTGAAGAGAGTAAGGTTTACGATGTCGAGTGTGTCTGCAGCCGCAGTAACCGCGACGCGTCCTTGTATATTGTTTGTGTTTGCAACTTCAACATGTAATACACTTGATTCACTGGAAAATTCTCAGGACAGATTATTATTGTCATTCAGTGTTTACCCAACAATTTGAGTATTTATAATGCAAAAGCTCAAGAACCTTTAAATAAAGGAGTTTTAATTTGACATGAATTTTTGCTGTTTCTTTCATTAGTAGTTCGTTATGTAGCCTAAAAATAACTGACAAAAAATTAGTAGATCATTGTTGTCAAAAACAAACAACATATATAACATCACGCCTTTTATTCTCATAGGGGTAGGCAGAGGTGCACATTATGCCACTGTACAATGTAACACCCACTTTTCACTATTTATGTTATGAGTACAATGTAATAGGGGATGAGCTTATTCCCATATACCGGGTAGAATTCCAAACTCCGTGCTACTACTGAGAATTAAAAAAAAACCCAATAATATGTTGCCCGACCCGGGAATCGAACCCGAGACCCCTTGCCCGGCAGTTGTACTTGGGACTCGGCCAACAAAGAAAAAAAACATTTACTTTACTTAATAACTGTGAAAAATAAACTAAACTTGAAAGTTAAGTAAACTAGCGTCAAACACTAGATCAATTTCAGAATCGCGGATGTTATATCGGGGATACCTAGTTTTGCCCGATCCATAATCACACATTCTTGCATTTTCTCTATCAACAAAGCAACAAAGAGAAGAACCCTGGCGATTAAAAAAAAAAGTAAATAGAATACGTAATAACATAGATTATAAACACACGGTATTGATGACAAAAGTAAGTATAGATTCATAGTCAAGATAACAATGAAAGATGAGTAGACCTTGAAAAAAGCCAACTACTAAGATTATGGGTCGTATAAAAAAGATACGATTCAACATGGGTTGCA